TGTATTTTTTGTAATTCCATTACAAGGAATTTCATATTATAATTGGAATAAATTACGTGCTAGTAATGTAATTGATGAAAGGAATTGAAAATGTAATTTTTTTCCAAGCAATTTGAAAGGAATTGAAAATGTAATTGATTTTTTCGAACTCCATTCCTCAACGTAATCAAAAAGTAATCGAAAAATTTATAAAAAAAAATGTTACTGTTGAATTGCAATAGCTTTGTTAAATTTCTTGGTTGCTAACTGCCTTGAATAAATAGCTTATACCTAAGTAGTATTACTAATTGGACTTAAGAAATATGAACCGTTAAATAACCGTTAAATTTTCCATATCTTACCGCGAACGCGCTTCGCGGCAGGTGAGACCCGTAAATGTCGAAGCAGGCATATCCCGCCCGAATACTTTCATGCTCGCCTTTCGGTGAAGAACAGTCCGGACTGTTGCAGCCTTGGGCACTGCTGTTCTCGTGGACTAATCCCTGCGTATCTATAAAAATGCACTGACTTAATTGTGTATATTATGGTACCCTTAATGCTACCCAAAATGGCGTGCCTTCTGGGGCCTTTGAAGTACTCTTACTGGTATCCACGAGCCCTGTCGGACTGGAGATCCTACCTCCTAAGAGTATTATAAACAAATTGCATTGCTATGGCTAAATTTTGATGATAGCACTGTAAGGACGCTAAAATTACACAAAAAACGCCGAGACACGTCAAACTAATTTTAAGTAGTATGTTACGGATCTGTATACCGTTTTTTTAGATAAGGTCATTAAGTTGTTGTTTTCATTTTATGTTGGCATTGCAAATGAAAAAATTCAAACTTTAACATGGAAAAAGTTCTTCATGCGCCATGTATGATTACTGTCATGTACGATATGGCGTATGAGTAACATTATTTCCTGCTAGCATTTCATACAAAAAATTATTGCACTTTCACTTAACCATTGCAAACTTGTTTATTTATCCATCGATATTCATCGGTGGTAGTGTTTTAAGCAGCAGAGCAAGCAGATATTGGCTAGTCTATACTAATACTAGCAGACCCGGCGAACTTCGTCCCGCCCAAAATTTCTTTCCTTATTCAAATATTTGGTACAAAGTTTTTAGCACAATTCACGTTCACTTTTGATTTTGTGGTCGTCAGAAAGCATATCCTCCATTGCCGTCTTAAATAACCTAACGAAAGTGTTATGTCCGTGAAGAAGTTCTTGCGGAAACAATGATCTGGCTCGATGGTGAATCGTCCCTGAAGCTGTATAGAAAAGGTGGTGGCAATTTCAAAATGAACAACATCATTGGCCCACAAAAATCCAATATACATAGACTTATTTCTGACTAAGTGTCTTACAATTGAATTTGTAGGCATTCATCAAGAATTGTCTTTATTTTGTTTAGTCGACGTAAAGCAAGGACCACAATGGTTATGGTGGTCGATTTAACGGTGGTAATTTGATTTTGATCCCTGGTGTCTCCGAATGACTTCACTTGACGATTTTTAGCAATAACTCGACTCCAGCGCCACCTTGCGGCTCTTTGTTTGAATAGTATTACCCTACCGTTACCAAAATACATACATCTTGTTTATGAGGGAAATCTGACCATAAATACGATATTTAGTTATAACTCGACTGCAGAGCCACCTGGAGAGCCATTTTTTCCCCAGAAATATTTCCCTTCTTGTTACCAATATATGTATATTTTGAATATTAGCCAGATCAGATTATAAATACGATTTTTAATAACGCGCCTCCAGCGCCACTTGGCGTTTTAAGTTGTGAACCTAAACTATACGGGGACTTTAGGACAAACATTTCATTAAAATCATTTCGGTCGTTTAGGAGGAGTTCACTCGAAAACACACGTACCGAAGAATTATATATGTATTTATAGATATGTAAAAGTTTCAGTATGTTTGGGGGCGTGGTGCCTTCCAATAGCTCCCACTTTTCTCCAAGAGTATGGGATTGATTTCAAAACCTTCATACTAAGTTCCAGGACTCTACCACAAATGCTTCCAGAAATATGCGGTGGCTATAACCAATAAAGCCTTTTGAAAAAAATCGGTACAGCCGTTCGCGAGATCACTTCTTACAGAAAGGTGGCACTTCTCTTAATATAATGGGTATAGATAATAAGTATCGATAAATAGCCAATACCCGCTTGCTTTCGGCGCCTTAAAACATTTCGAATTGTAAAACAATCATTAATTCTATTATATATAATAGATCGGTCCCTGGTCCACCTATAAGAAAAAAGTATCCTATATTTTAATCCAGGTAGTAAGCTGCCTACGCCCCAAATTTCAAACGAAACTAAACATGTTAGAAAAAAAAACGGATTCTGTATGTTAATCTAGGAAAAGGCTACCAACGTACTATATTTCAATCAAATCGGACGACAAATAAAACTTTTTCGAATAGATCGGACTCTGCTCCACTTCACGGAAAAAAGAATCATATATGCTTGTTGAGGACATGAGTCCGAATCTAATCGATTTATAATTATGTAAAGAATATCTAAAACACATTGAAATACTTACCTTATATATAATCAATACTTACCTAAATACTTACCTGAATTGAAGAATGTACTTACCTTTATAATTTGCATTTTATACTTACCCTTGTTTAACACCCTGTAAATTAAACATACCTTCATATGCGAATTCGCCTTGTACTAAATTGTTTAGTAATAAGCAAACAAAAATCCTGCGGGTCATTCGCTCGCTATCACTCGCCTCAGAAAGTGCTCCAATCAATCTTAAGTGTTAAGTGGAAAAAAAAAAATAACTGAAATAATAAAGCTAAAATACTTATATCAAAAATTCAAAATTTTAAATCTTTTAATTTCCTAAGGAAAAGGGTAAATTTTGTTAAATTAATTTCGCCTCAATGCGAAACATGGTGCCGAAACCCCTTTAAAAAAAAGAAGAACCAATTTCAAATAGAAATAAATTTATGTACAAAGTACATATGCAAGCGAAAAACACAAACAATTACACGCGAAGTCCGTTAACAATACTTAAAACGGAAAAAAGGTAGCGAGCGAAGTAGCGGCGGAAAGTTAAGTCTACGTTTTCAACTGCGTGCGCATTGTTTGAACAAATTCAAAAAAAAAAATTATAATAATAAATAAATAAAAATAGAAAATAAAATTCGGCTCGGGCAAAAATTTTAAATAATTGCGGAAAAGCATAAAGTGAATAAAAAAAATAGTTAGCTAGGTACTCAAAAAAAGAAAACTTCAAGTTTGTGTGAATCAACAAGTTTACATTGTACATACACATATAAAATACTTGCCAAACTAAGTACACGCAAAAATATAAAAAAAAACCTAAAACGGCTGAAAATCGAAGCGAAATAATACAAACATACGAAAAACAAGTTGCCAGTTTAAGAAAAAAACAAAAAGTGCACGACGACAAAACAAATTAATAATTTAAAAAAAAAAAAAGCTAGTGGTCGCAATAAACCGTTCAGCCGGAGGCGTCCATAATTGGCCGCCCAACAACAACAACAGAAGGCAAAAACATCGCAGTATTGGCGTTGCAACAACTACAATCAACAGCAAGTATATGCGATATACCGCAGGCAAGTAGCCAGCCGGCAAGCACCCAGCACAACAACAGCAAAAAGTTAAAGGCAATTAGCAGTAGAAGCCGGCAGCAACAACAGCAAGAAGGGCGCCAGCAGCCCCTTAGCAACAAGCAGCCCCATAGCAGCAACAAGTAGCCCCCACAGTAGCCACGCACGCAAATCAAAAAAAACGCCAAAGGAAGCCCCCCAACAACAATCAACANGAAATGTCAAAGCATACTGAGCATCTTTCTCTTTGACACCATGTCTGAAATCCCACGTGATCTGTCAAATACTAATGCATGAAAATCCTAACCTCAAAAAAATCACCCGTTACAAAGAAACGGAATGCCAAAGTAAGTGCATCATTTACTTACTCAGCTATAAAAAGTTTAGCGGATTTCCCCAAAACCGTGTATGAAAACTTCCCCTCTTCATACACCGTACACCAAATAACGCTCTATATAAATACATATATTTTTTGCGAACATTCCCGCGCAGTTTATATAACCTCACAACCAAAAAAAAAAAAAAAATCCGCCCCATACATAAAAAAACAAAAAAAAAAAACACAATCCGCTAAGTATAAATACATATTCATACGTATATAACCCCTATACATATGTATATCTCTCTCCACGTATATATATGAAACTGGTCCCAAGGCCATTCCAAAAAGCCCACTCGCGCCTAAAATTACAGTTGGCCAATTTAGCACTGGGCACATAACCAAAACCACCGCTACTCTTCCCTAACCCGTGCATATACATACGGACATATATGTACATAAATACGCCGCTCCAACTCCAAAGTGATTTCTCTCCTTTCTGCTAATCCCACTCATTCGCTGTTCGCAATAGCAAAGCAATGCTAGTTGGCGACATATGTACATACACACATACGTACATAAGCTGAGATACATAGCGACAGTAGTAAACACAATTGTCAGCGTGGTATATACACACGCACATACTCGTTTGNATAAATACGCCGCTCCAACTCCAAAGTGATTTCTCTCCTTTCTGCTAATCCCACTCATTCGCTGTTCGCAATAGCAAAGCAATGCTAGTTGGCGACATATGTACATACACACATACGTACATAAGCTGAGATACATAGCGACAGTAGTAAACACAATTGTCAGCGTGGTATATACACACGCACATACCCGTTTGTCCCAAACAAAGAAAAAGCGAACTGTTACTGGACTCAGACGCGCTGAGACAGTAGAGTGTGTAACAAATTTTAGCACCCATCCCAAATAAGTCTGCTACACTAATATACGCACGAAAGCAACAAATAAAATAAAACTTTAATTAATTATCAACATATAAAAACAAATAATTAAAATAAACTCTCGCTATAGAAATTTCCCACTGAATACTCAAAAACTCAAGNTCGGGCATCATCAACGGCCTCTCAATCGTTCAACTTCCGGAACAAAACTCAATCGTTCCATACTGAACAAAAAAAGCCAGCCTCATGCAAATTATGCAATTGTAATCACTCCATGATGAGTTGCGTAAAATTCAAAGAACTATCCGTTTATGATCGGAATAAGTTCGTTAAAGAAAACAATTATTGTAAAAATTGTTTGGCATACTCGCATTCAGAGAGAGATTGTAAAAGTAACTTCACTTGCGTGTATTGCCAAAAGCGACACCACTCTCTCCTTCATTTTCCAGCGAAATCCCAAACGCCAAACAACAAAAACCCCACTAAAAACTACGTCACATCTCACGTGACCATTGACAATGAAATGTCATGTACCTCTACCCAAGCCGCCGCAGAAAATGCATCTCAAAGCAACAATGATAAGGTGCTCTCACATTTCTCAAGCAGTAGAGACAGAACCTTACTCCCTACAGCAAATATCCCTATCTTCCACAAAGGAGAAACAGTTCAAATTCGTGCTCTCATAGACCAAGGATCCCAAAAGACTTTTGTAACCTCTCGTGTACAAAAGCTTCTTGGTCTACCCACAACCAAAACAAACTATGAAATATTAGGAATGGGCTGACGAACAGTTCAGAATGCGAACAAAATTTGCTCACTCACAATATGTTCTCCAGATCTCAAAATAAAAATCGCAACTCACGCAATAATAATCCCCCAATTGACGCACTTTTTACCATCATTCAAGGTGACATACGTTGATCTCCAAGAATACGCCTCACTTCTTCTAGCCGACCCTAACTGCTTCGCACCTGCCAGGATAGACATGGTGATTGGTAGCGACATTCTCCCCAAAATACTAATTCCAGGTCTTAAAACCAACGTTGGCGGAAGCTTAATAGCCCAAAACTCCATCTTTGGGTGGATATTAAGCGGCCCAGTTGCGGAACAAATCTCAACATTTTCCACCCAGGTAGTTGAAGGCTCAGCAGATTCCCTAGGTGATCTACTCAAAAGATTTTGGGAACAAGAGGAGGTTCCATCGGCTCCCACTCACACAGACGATGATGAATTTTGCGAGGAGCTCTACAAAAATACCACCTATCGGAGAGAAGACGGCCGCTACGTAGTAAAACTCCCATTCAAGTCAACATTTCCCGACTCAACCGCACTAGGGCACTCCAGACCCGCAGCTCAGCAGCAATACCTCAGCATCGAGCGGAGCATCGAGAAGAAAGCGGAACTCCAAACCACATATTCAAAGGTCCTCGAAGAATACTTGACTCTAGACCACATGGAGCCCACAAAGTCACGCGAAATCATACGTGATGGTAATTATTTCTCATTTTACCTGCCACATCACGCTGTGATTAAACCTGATAGTAAAACTACTAAAGTCCGAGTAGTTTTTAATGCGTCAAAACTCTCTCACTCTGGCCTCTCACTTAATGACGTACTGCACACAGGTCCCGTTCTCCAAAATGACCTAATGCTTATAATTCTCAAATGGAGGTTATATAAGTATGTGTTCAATGGCGACATTGAAAAAATGTATCGCCAGATATACGTCCACAAGGAAGACCAGGATTTCCAGCGAATCCTATTCCGCAGATCCCCCGAAAGACCGATAGAAGACGTTAAACTAAAACAGTTACATTTGGCGTTAACTGTGCTCCCTATTTGGCCATAAGAACACTCCATCAATTGGCCCAAGACACACAACAAACATCCCCAAGAAGCACAGCAATTTTAGTCAACGAGACTTATGTTGACGACATTCTCTCAGTCGGGCACGAANAAGGAAGACCAGGATTTCCAGCGAATCCTATTCCGCAGATCCCCCGAAAGACCGATAGAAGACGTTAAACTAAAACAGTTACATTTGGCGTTAACTGTGCTCCCTATTTGGCCATAAGAACACTCCATCAATTGGCCCAAGACACACAACAAACATCCCCAAGAAGCACAGCAATTTTAGTCAACGAGACTTATGTTGACGACATTCTCTCAGTCGGGCACGAACTGGACTCAGCCAGGGAATCGATATCTCAAATTATCGATGTCCTAAAATCAGCAGGATTCCCCTTGAAAAAGATCACGGCAAATCACAA